ACCGCGTGCGCTCTGCATGGCTGCCTAGCAACATTCGCAAGCACTGCAGCATCAGCACCAGCAGCGCGGAGGTTCCGGTAATGGCCTCCTGCAAAAAGGCAGAGACCAGCGACGGTAGCACAACACTACACCACCCCCCTCAGTGAGCCAAACGAGCAAAGGCACATTTAAACCCAACTACAGTCCAAATAAAGGCCGCGCACAGCTAGCGAGCGAAATACAGCGCAGGGAAAGCAACGACAAGCAGACGCGGTGTGGCTAAAGTAGCAGAGAGGCGCTGCCATTACAGGCTCTGTTAACAGACAGCCTCACACCCACCGAGCCTGGCTGCGGAGATCATTTACAGGAGGGGAGAATGTGCGTGAAAGCTGCATGCGGCGTGGGCCTCTTAATTTCATTGTGCAAAAACAGAGTTGGACGCGCAACACCAGCAGCTTAAACATGAAGTAGTTCAGGCAGGCATCGTCAGAGAAATGCGCACACAACGCTCATGCACGCGTCAGGGAGGACCCCGCACGACACCCAGCCTTTTCTCCGTGGATAACTACACGTAAATATCAGCAGTGTAGGCTACTCACCTCAGCGCATCCTCGGGAGCGTGTCTGCTGAGTGGGTGCGGCACACCCACAGCCTGAAGACGTCCTCAGAGTGAAGGAGTTAATTGCAACAAATCTGTGTGCACTGGCTCCTTTGTCAGAGTGTTTCAGGGCCTCAGCTGATACCAAGTCAACCGACCCTGCTGTGTTGTTTTTTTTTCATCGCTCAGTGAGCCAGGACCAGCCCACTGCCACGCCTGTGCACAGTCTAGCACCCCAAACACTCCCAGTCAGTTCGCTACAGTGAGGATCCTGGCAGTGTGCTCGGTTATTGTGCTCGTAAAGCCTTTTGACGCACAGTCCTGGAGGATTTTATTATCGCTGTCTTTTTGTTTAGTCGTTCAGGCCCACTTCAAGTGAAGAAAATATCATACATCAAACAGGCGCCACCTTCTGTTTTTAACACAGCACAGCCCGAGAAGCAGGGATATGCAGATTGTAGGTGTTTGGAAATGAGTTTGTCAGATTGTAATTGAACTAGAAAGACAAGGTGGTGGGAAAAAGGAGCCGCAGGTCACTTCCACTTTTATTGGACTCTGCTGGAAACCATGTAAAGACTCTGTGTTTTTACCCCACGCAGACACATCCACTCCAGCACAATCAAGCACTGCTACACGAGGTTATGCAGTTGATCCTTTGTGTTTTTTAGGAGGCTCAGCTTGAAAAAGTACTAAAACAGACTCCCGTGACGTCACTACGGGCCAACACAATATTTGCTCAACCTGCAATTTTATATAACTGATTTCTTCCCATTCAAATAAAGTTAATCAGATCACCAGAGAAGATTATGGATATAGAGGTATGATAACACTTAATATGGCCAGGATGTGAATTCCCCTGTAACTGTGTGGAATTTTCAATAATGTGACATGGAATTATATTTAGATGCAAATACTTAAAGGCAGATACACTAAGGGAGTAACAAGTCACGTTTTTACAGGAAACAAAGAAATAATGATACTGTAGGTAATTTTAAGTCATGTGTAAGCAATGTTATGTCACGCATGAGTAATTAAAAAAGTATTGTATAACTTAGGTATTTTACAGGGAATTATTCTGTAAGTACTTACAGGAGTACTGCGTAACTTCTTCATAATTTTATGGGTAAACAATATTTTCCAATCTTACATTATAAATACACTTTTTCAAGGAGTGACTTGTTCCCCCTTTATTATTAGTGTGAACTTTAAGTGTTCATAGCTAAATATAATTATTGTAGTTTCAAATAAAATAATTGAAAACAATTCAGTTTAATTACAGGGGAATTATGCATTTAGTCACAGCCCAGATGTGACAGTTACATTGTATCAGTAAACTTTATCACCTTTTATGAAGGACCTATGAGGATGGTACTGAGTAATAAATTGCCAATAAGGTTTAATAACGCTTTATGTAACAGTCAATAATATGGAGAACTCCTGATTGTGTAAACATTCACAATTAACTTTATTTTATGTTTACCTTTTTACAAGTAGGATTTCCAGTGTTGTGGTAGGCAACCTTTTTTCTTTGAAACTTTCAGCAGCCTTGTTATCACGCCTGTTATGCAACTGCACTGCAACTATAGTTAGAAATATGCGCAGTAATGCAGGAGCAGTTGTTTTGGAGATGGCAAGACTTTACAGCAGGATGCTCTGGAAATTATCGTGCACTATGAGTGTGAAGATGGATGTTTACAAGTCAAACAATTAATCAAAATCTGCAGGGTGCTGCTACAAGCCCCTCTCATCAGCAAATGTAAGAGCAGTGTGACTTTTGCATGGAAAAAAATTAGAAGAGCTGGCAGCACCATGTGGGAAGCTTATATGCCAAGACCAGTCTGTCCATTTTCAGCCTCTGCTTCACCTCAGCTGGAGTCCCTCTTCTTTAAAGGGTTAAAGTCCCAAAACTCTACTTAATAGTTTATATTTATATTTCAGGCTGAAGTTGTTAAAACAAAACAAAACAAAACAGTGGAGCTATGCAAACATACTGGCCTTTAAAGGGTTAAAATCCAAAATGTAATTAAATGTAATATTTGATATTGATATTTCAGACTGAGTCATTTAAAGTGGAAAAAATATTACTGTATAACATTTTACAGCAATTTTTGCAAAGCTATCATTTTAAAAAAATCTGACATGACAGAAAAAATGAAAAATGCATGAAAAGCAATGTTGCCTCCAAGCATTGACCCATCTTAGGACCTAATAAAAATAATAAAACACTCCTTGAAATGTACTTTTTAGACTTTCCGCTGCTGGTATTCTTTTCCGATATAAAACAGTGGAGCTCTGTAAACACACTGACCTTTAAAGGGTTAAAATAAAACATTTTACAATGTATTTCACAGGCTGAAGTAGCTTTAAAAGACTGAGTCATTTAAAGTGGAAAAAAGTATTATATAGTAATACTTTTACAGCAGTTTTTGGGAGGGTGTCATTTTTCATCCTTAGGGTAAAAAGAGTCAGGATTTTAAGGATCATATAAAGATTAAAACAGCTCAAGCTCTTTTAAGATATTTTACTTTCAGAAATGTGATTTTTTTCATCATTCAGCCTAATTTCCTTAAAATTTACACATCACTGTGTATTTATAATCACATCAAGAGTACTTTAGAACTATGTAGGATTTAGTTGAACATTTCTACTCATGACCATTTTGTTTGAAGGAGATTTGGCTTCAAGGTTTCTGTTGGCATCTGCAGCTGAGATTAAAGGTGCGGGATGAGGTTGTAGGTGTGGGGTTGGCAGTTGTTTTAAACATGACATCACTTTTCAGCTATTTGGGTTCATGGTGCTGGTGAAATTGCCTGGATGAGGCAGTAGGTGGAAGCTTTAGCTCCTGCGATCTGCTTTAATCTGCAAGTGGAGGAGGAAGCTGTAGGTTGTAGGTTGAGGCCGTCGATGGTCCTTAGAACATTCATGTGGTGTAGCAACTGGACTGCGGTTAAATGAGGCCGTAGGTGACGTGCCTGCAGCTCTGTGGGGGTGGAGATTAGACCAGCAGAGGGATGTTATATGTTTTAATGGTCTTTGTAAGAGACTGTTGGATGGGGATCGAACAGTGGACGAGAGGCTGAATGGGGAGGTGTGTGTGGTTTCCTTCCCAGCTCCGTAAACTGCATGAGGGAGCAGGTGGGTGTTATGAGCAGCTGGAGGCAACACATGGCTACTGTAGGTTGGAAGCAGATGTAAATAATAGGTGGTGGGTGGCAGAGGCTGGTACTTCTGCTTGTTTCCTGCTGCTGCCTTGAGTTAGAAAAAAACTGCTGAGGTTCAGATTGGTTACGAGTTGTATCAACACCCTAGATGACTGTAGCTTGAGCTCATGGATCTGATTGTTTTAAGGTGTACAGACTGTATTAACTTATTTGTGTTGACTTTTTACTCTTCTCAAGGATCTACATCACACGGGGGGGAATAGATTAATCAAACGTTGGAGTACCTCTAGGTTCAACTTTGGGCTCTGTTGTTCCGTTTGTACATTAATGACTTACCCGAAATGTATACACCTACTCAAACCCGCCCAAGGAAAGTGTGATGATATGGCTGCTGAAGAACTCCCAGCTACAACAATTACATCAAATGACAAAATCTAATACAAACTAGACACACACACACACCAACTTTCTGTACACTGAGCTACACAAAAATAGTCAATTGGTAATCCCTAGTTTCCAATTAGTTGCTAGGTTGTGCCGACAAAACTGCTGATGTTGCGTTGCAGACTGCAGATGAGGGTTCAAGTGATGTTCTTCATGTAGACCTGAAAAGCAGAACAGTATCAGTTTCTCTAAATATTTCTAAAGATCTTTTGCAGCAATCATAGGGGGGGGGTTGCCTTTCCACACAGGCTTTCAAACCTTTAAAGCCTCTTTACTCTTGAACTGCAGGGACCTGGTCAGAATTCATCAGGTCTTTTGAACCTTAATTGTCCTTATAAGTGAACTGAAGTGTATGAAGCTTTAAAATTTTCTACTGCTGGGTTTATAAAATATAAATATCTGAACAAAGGGGTTTTTTTTTTTTATATTTAAAGCTGAATCAAAACAAAAGGAAACAAAGAACTACAGTCTTTAATTTTTCATGCATTTTCACATTTCCACTTGTATTTAATAACATTAACAAGTGACAGCAGTGTGACAAATTCATTCTGTTAATCAGCACAAGTCTTTCCCCCCCAAAGAAAACCTTCTTGAACACTAACACGAGTTTAACATTTACATGACTCTTACAACAAGTGTTGTATATAACAGGCTTCTAATAGGCCTACACAGAAAACAATTTCATAAGTGAAATTACAAAAACAAAATTCCTTTTACATTTTAAGGCTGCCAAGGATACAATCTGTAAAATGAGAATCAAAACATTTACTTCAACAAAAAAAAAAAAAAAAAAAAAAAACCACCAAAAAAAAAAAACAAAAAAAAAAAAACCCCAAAAGGTTAAAACACCACAAATGAAAGTCTGCTTTCTTCAAAACAATCCTTTTCTTCAAAGCAACAGGACCCTAAAAAGAAAAATCACAACACTCAACAACTTGGTTTCCTTAAAGTATTCATACCATTTATCAATCACTAGAAACATGTTTGCCTATTCAGGCTGCAACAATTTGAGTAATTCAATAATAACCAATTCAACACAAATTCTTTGGGGCTTCATTTCATGCACGGCTCTGTGCACGTTTTTGTTTTCAATGCTGTAAATGAGCAATTCACCCACATTTTTTTTTTTTCAACATATTTAGGAGCAGAGTGTGAATACCAAGCCTCACCACATTAAGCTCACACAGCCCCCAGTTTTTAACATAACCAGCCCTTCGAGTACCCCGAAGAGGAGAGAGAGAAAAAAAAAAAGTTTCCGCAACTCAGAAAGTCTCTGGTCAACAGACACATTATGCCCATATCATGGTCTACACCAGAGATAGTCAAGGGCAGAACCTCTCAGACGCCCATGCCCAAGGTAAGATGTTCTCAAAAGTGCGCCTTATGAATTCTGGTTGTGCTTACTGACTGCAAACCGGTTTTATGTGGGACACTGTGCTCAAAAATCTGTCAAAATGTTTTAGTATGACTTTGCTAAGTTACAAAACCGCACCGCTTTGTAGATTGTCAGACCATTACGGCCACAGTAGTCAGGAGCCTCAGAATAATGCATAGCATGCTTCAACATAATATTACCATAATGTGTGTAAACTCAGTCACGCAGTAGAACATGGGAATAGAGCAGCTGCGAGACATTAATGAATCAATGGCACGGAAGTGGAGGAAGCAAGACGAATGAGTTGACTAAAGTTTGACTTATCTGACTGTTTTGTTTCGCTTAATGTGCCTTATGGTCCCCAAAAAAAAAAAATAAATAAATAAAAAAAATACGGTAACTTATCTGTCTTGTAGAAATGTGCTCCAAATAATCATTTACAAATCAATATTGTCTGTATGGAGTGAACATGTAAAGCTGTGGTGTTAAGCCGGGGGGGGGAGTTAAACTAGAGTCCTGTCTGTACGCTTCACATTTCACCCTGCTTCTATCAGCATTCACGTCATCAGTGACTGCTTCACTGGCATTACCTACACGTTTTATAGACTTTATGCTGACACGTTTCTCTCAAATTGTTACAAGTTAACTTTCGTTTCATGTGTACAACGATCAGGCTCTTTCAGTTGTATCCTAGCAAAGTCAAACCTGTGCTTCCTGTTCTTGAGTGAAACCAGGATCGTTTGTGAACATAGAGACTTTACATTCACAAACATGTCTCTTGACTGTAGATTGACAATGATCTGTCTACCTGTTCGAGTGCGTTCATGATTTTGAAAATTTGGTTCTCTTGACCATTGAAATAATTATGTCATTATCCTTCCTATGAACTTCAGGAGTCCAATTACTTTTAATCCCCTGAAAATGGAGGAGTATGTATAAAAATCCTGGCAGCAGCCAGTGGTGAACATCAGCCTCTACACCTTGTTCTCAAGTTGACATCTGACCTTCAGGTCAAGGTCACTCGAGTTATAGTCAACTTTGGACATGTAAAGAGTACGAAGCCCAAACACTTAACTGTTTTAGTTCATTTAATCTTAAAATTCCCTTTAAATGTATGTGTTTAATCAGCGTTGTTTATCATTTATGTTATATGAAGGATAAGACACTACAAGCACATACTACATGCTTTACATCTTCATGTTTTAACAACGAAATAAAGTTCTCTAGTAGACTAAAGTGATTAATTCAACATTATCCATCTATTCTTAAACAGTTCTAATACATCCTTTTTGGAGTTCTATTCACAGCAGTGATGTGAGAATAACTCCTGTGTGGCGCTGCGTCACACCACTTGTAGAAGCACGAGTGCTCAAAGGAAGCTGTTGCGTTGGCTAGAATGTCCGCTTAAAACTACGAGCCATTTAAATAAAAGTTTCTGTAGGAAGCCTTAATTCACATTCAGGAATCTAAAAATCGGCAATGCAAACGGCAGCTAATCTGGTATTTTTAGTACCCTGGTCAGAGGTGAAACAGAAACTACAGATTAGACAGTGGAACGGTCCACCAGAGGGCAGTGCAACAACACTTTTAAAAAGACTCAACTATAGGCTACTTTATGTGATGCACATCCAGTGCTTTGAGAGAAGAAAAAAAGAAATTAAGGGCAATTACATCATTACACACAAAGAGTCTATGAAATCAGGCCCAATTAGAATATAAAAGTAGTACTCACACCCTTAATCATTCTGAGATGCTCATTCAGACCACATGAGGGCAACATTTGTACACATTGAGTAATTTTGTACTTCACATATATTTTTAGAATAGTAAAGCAAGAATGATATTTAATCATTCAGGGCCTTTACTAACTTGATTTGATCTGCAGTCAATTACATTCTTGATCATTAAATTCTGATCCCACCAACATTTCATCACTTGCATTTCTGTAAACTGATTTAATATTAGTGTTCAAAACGCAAACCTGGCAGGTGTCCAATATCAGGCCACATCAGCTGCTGTAAACACTGCTTAGCAAGGTTGAGACATCTGTTGGAAGACAAAAAAAAGTTAATGTTCAAGTCCTTACAATGTTAAGCATTTCCTCTGCTGGATAAAAGTCAATTTTTCACTCTTACAGTCCAGGAGGATTACATGTTCATAATTTGATGCACAAACACTGAAAACTGAAGTCTGCTTGTCACAATAGTTCTGTGTACAGCATAATGACATAAGTGCGGGGATAAAACCCTTGCTCTGGCGTTATCTAAACCTCTTCACCTAAATTATCCAATCAGATGCTCAGGCACTTGTCAGGACTGCTTGAACCTTTCAGATGTTGGCACTACTCAGAAGACAATCAAATGCTGTGCGCCGATTGTCAGCTGTAATTGAAGAATGTTTCTGCCAGATCATTCGTGGAATTAAACATGTGATTGCCTATTGTTTGCAGGGTTTGTCTTCCAAGAACTGCATAAACATTGCCCATCTTCCTTCTGAAAGGTTACTCCAGCTGTCACTGATATATCAGGGTCAATTCTGTATGAAACTTGATTAATGAAAAAAAATTACAATAAACCCCTGATTTACTTTGTGTACTTGGTCTCCCCCCCACACACACACACACCACTTGTGTATTCTGGCTTAGTTGTTAAATTATGCCAGTGTAATGTGTTGAGCTTTTATTTGGCCAATTTTAGAGATGTGCCGTTTTTAGATTTATTTATTTATTTTTTTAAATTAGGTCACACACACACACACACACACACACACGATTTCATGTCACTTATCTACTAGTCTTTATTTTAACCCCACTACTGTGTGTCCCAAGGGAGGACGGAGTACAGGCTATGGGGTCAAAAGTGACCAGAGTCACCATGTCAACAAGCACACTGCTGCATTTTAGTATGAGCAGAGTTCTTGGTTTTGCCTCGTGGGACTCAACTGAAAATTCTAATCTTAGCTATAGACCTGCAGATGTGTGCACTGTTGCACTTAAAAAACAAAAAAACAAAAACAAAAAAACATAAGTAGTAAGCCTCAAATCAGATGAGTAATCCAGACTGAGGTTCCCTCTCTTTTTGACTGACAGGCTGAACACCGACCCCTGAAAACATGAAGTACATTGATGAGTTACCGCAGGCTGATCAGGAGCTACTTGGATGATGAACTGGTATGTTGGCATCACACAGTGCTGCAACATCAGTCTGGTCATCTCTCCATCGTCTGTCACCGGTTCAGGGGGTAAAATGAATCCATCATCAATTTGTTCCTCTGACATGCTCAGCAACTGGCAGGGAGAAAGAGCACAGTTAGATAAAACATTCATTTCTGGGAACAGTGACTGGTCAACTGTAGTAAAGCAAGACCAACTAAACCAGAACAACAATCAAATGAGATGGTAAAAAGTGTGACTGTTCATTTAGCACTTTCCTGGAAAAGCTGCACTTCATGTTGGATACGATAGCTCACCCTAACACACTGGAAAAGTCTCCACTAACAGATATAATTTCATTTAATATGCTAATATTTTGTAATAAATATCTATATACTTTTGACAGTGAGCTGATGTAGTTTTATGTTTTGCTCAGGAATGAATGGTTTATTGCTGCTTGCGGCTTTATGAAAAAAAAAAAATGTATTAACCCTCCGGGTTTGTTCAAAATCACCAACCTTCCAGCCAACAGATAAGGTCTGTAATTTTTATTATTTTCATGGGTTTTTTTTAAACCCTTCTTTCTGCATAAAGCTTTTAACTAACTTCAGTTCTTTTCATAAATATAAGATAGTTATTACTTTTTACATTTTTAACCCTTTAAACACCAGTTTGTCCACTGCACTAGCTGGAAGACAACCTCAAAGCAAAAACATAAAAACTCCCTCTCAGCTTGCTCGTGGCCAAAAACGGGCACCCCTTGTTTAAGTCTACAAAAGGCTATAAAATTGGTGGCCATTTAGAAGTCAGCCATCTTGGATACAACTCCCCCCCCCATAGGAAGAGGGCCATGTGACACAAACTTATTGGTAATGTCACAAGAAAAACAATGGTGTGCTTGGTTTCAACGGCCAACTTCTAAATGGCCACTACCCGTCTTGAGGAGTTTGCCCCCCCCTTCACAAATACTAATGTGCCACAAACAGGACTTTAATATCACCAACCATTCCCATTTTATTACAGTGTATCCATATAAATGGCCCACCCTGTACACCTGGTGCAAGGGGCTGCTGTTCCAATCCTGGAGGTGCGCCTTTTGCACCTTCTTCTCATTTCATTGGTGGGGTGTGGGTCACACCTGTTCAGACTACTGTATCTTGGGATCAATGGCAGAAGTGGCTGAGAATCAGGGACAAGGGTGTCTTGCAGCTGTTGAGGTCACCAGCATGTGCCCCAGCTCTCCCAGGATCGCTCTTCATTTGTAGAGCACTCCCCCACTTCAGTGAAGTTGTTTCCGGCAGGACAAAGGCATCATATCCCAAGACATCCAGGAGATTGGAGAAAAGAGCCAGCAGCTAGTTTTCCTTCAACAACTTGAGGTGCCAACATCCTCTCCAAGTTATCTAAGCTGTATTTGTGTCTATTGTAGTCCAGGATTGCTTCTTGTTTCTAGGCATCCTCTATTCCCCATCACTGACTGCTGGTTCCTTGTGTGTTGCTGTCAAAAGAAGCACATTCCTCCGTTGCTTTGGCATGTGGTAGTTTTGGTGAAGCCAAAGACAGACAACAAAATATTCCTCTGTTGCATCTGGAGGAGCTGGGGAGGAAGCTCTGGGTTGTTTCCCCTGTACCAGTTTTCATCTGAAGAGTTCCTCAGTGCCAAGGTGCCCGAAGGAAAGACGTTGTCCTCAGAGCTCCTCCGTCAGTTGGAGTCTGAATCAGAATACTTTATTGATCCCTGGGGGAAATTATTGAATGTCTGAACCCCTTTCCCTTTTTTACTTCCTGAGAACTTCCAGTGTTGTCATCCAACATGCTACGTATTGCTTCATTCTGGTTCAGGCTCACATCTCCGCTTCATCTATAATCCTCCAATCCTCACACCTCTGCCTCCCGTGCAGGTTTGTAAGGGTGCACAGCAGCTAAAAGATCTCCTTTGTTATAAAAAAGTCAAAAGTATATCTCAGGCTGCTAGTGCAGGGAACTGCATACAGGGTGACATCTGGTTTGATACCAGTGGGTACTGGATTGTAGAGCAGTCTCTCTTCAGTAGTGGGACCCACATGGTTTTCCTTTCATGAGGGATCCACTCAGTCAGGGCTCCTCGGTCTCAGAAAATGCTCCTATGTTCTTTTCCATCAGCTGCTCGGCCTCCACCTCCATGCCCCCAAACCTCCCCCCAAAGAAGAGGATTCACACACTGGCTAGTACTCATCTTCAGTGGTGATGCAGTCAGCCTCTTTGGAGATTGTCCCCTCATCTTCTGGAGAGGAAGTTTCTTCATCTTGGGCAGATGTCTCTTCTTCAAGGGCAGAGCACTGCTTGCTGTCCTTGCTCTCTGACCAGATCATATAGACAGTGCTTGAAGCAGTGATGACCTTCTTGCCATATGGCCAGAATAAATGATCTGGGAGCTGTTAGGCTTACTTTCAGCAAAGAGTTTCTCAATGCAAAGAATGGGGATAGGCGTTAATGGCTAACGCACCAACCTGAAATCAACCCAACAGACATGCAAATGCAAAACTAAACTGCAGGAACTTAGGCCAAAGCACTAGTATGTATGTGACGCTCCATTTAATGATGTATGCACATTCTGAATGTGGATTAGCACCATTAGTAGGTTGATACAACAGCGTCCCTTTACTGAAGAAACAGACACCACTTACATCATCCACTCGCCAAAAGTCACTACCAAGGCCTTCAGTCTGACTGTAGGCGATTGCATTCTTTAAGAAATCAGTCCCACTGCCATCATCCTAAAATAAACGAAAACAAAACACAGATTAACATTTCACAATAAGTGGTAGTGTTGCTCTTGGAAAACAATACACTTGTCATTTCAGAGAGTCCTGCCGAGCGCAGTACTTACACTTTCAGTTTCCTGCAAAACTGCAAGCAGCAGTCGAATGTATTCTGTGGCAGCTTTGAGTGTGTCCACTTTGCTGGGCTTTCGGTCTGGTCGCATCAGTGGCACCATCCTTTTCAAGCGAGAGAACATGGTATTCAAGTTCCTGATCTGCAACGAAGAGAGGCTGAAGTGCTTTAGCAAACACTGAAAACTGTAGGATTTGAAGCAGGAGCGATTGTCACAATTTGATACTCTTGTAGGAATTTAAGCCCTGTGGGAGCAAATCCCGGTTTAAACTAAAGTATTCATACTTATTTGATTGTAAGCAGCACTGAGTTGTATACAGACTTGTCAATTTTGAAATACAAAAAGGTAGTTTTAATTAAACACAAAGGCAACTTTCAGCACCCCAGCAGGACTACTTATGCAAATATCAGCGCTATTATTATCATCATCATTATTTATTCTAATAATGTTGTTCAAACATCCAAAAACAACATCTCTAATATAACAACGAAGGAGAACTGCATTTCCAAGAAAATTAGTCCATTTCAGACCAATGCCAGGATGCATTCATAAAGCGGTCATGCTTAGCACTTAATACACAGCTGCTAAAAAACCCAAGATGCAGGCCTTCGAGCGAACTTCAGCGCCAAACAATGTGCCTTAATGGTGTAGTGCAGCTCTGTGTAAAACATTAGCCGAGGACTCCTTGTAGGGCGGAGTGGCACAGATTAAGGAGGGGGGGGGAATTACTTTATTGAGAGTCGAAATGTTTACATTAAACTTGCAATTCTGCTTGGACAATAAAGTCGTCAGTCTATTTTGAGAAATTAGCAGCAAATTATTCCCAAAATGAACAATAACATTATTTTTCCAGCTAGCATCGTTAGCTGTGAGGTTGCTAACAGCTTCCCTCCTTGAGTGAGCCGTTAACCCTTGGAAGGTCCTTAAAAACATCCTTATTTGGTCCTAGAGCCAAAAATCGACCACACCATAAAGAGTGCTATAATATTATATTTTTTCCCCACTTTAAATTACTTTTAAAACTACTTCTCCCTGAAATATTCATATAAAGTTTTCTCACACACACACACACACACACACACACACACACACACACTCTTAAAAATATCATTTTTTGTTGTAACTCCCAAACTCAAGGGTAATGTAACAATACTTTTTCAAACGACAACGTCAGCACTTTTCGTACTCAGGACAGCGAAAGTGTTTCTGTGCGCACTTTGGCACACGGCGAGTCAGACCTGTACGCTGGAGCGTCCGGAGCCTAGTCATTGTCCGCCAGTTTGTCGAAATCCTCCAATGGCTGTTCCAATCGAGCTCCTCTTCGCTCACAATTTGCAGATAATTGGTGTCGCTACGTGATCCATTAACAGTGTGAGCTGAAAGCATCTCCGTTTTCTGCTCAATGCGCGTCTATTTAGAAATGCGGTATCTTAGCGTTCCATCAATGACTACTTCCAGGTCATTCAACCGCAGCTGTATTTAAAAAAATGATTTTTAAGGGGAAAATAAAATCCAATTTGCTTTTAGTTCTTGCTTTTATATTCAATTTGTTTGCATTGGAGTGTGCCTGTCTGGCCATCAAAATACTTTTGAAAAAAAGTGTGTCTTTTTTTATTATTTTATTTATTTATTTTATTTTTTTGACATAAAGACCTTTTTTTTTTTAAATATAAAGGTCATTGATAGTGACACACAACACCACTCCCCCCCTTTTTAAAGCAGAAAGACATGCTCAAAATCTGAATCTTTGGCTTGAGTTCGTTCAATGCTGAAATATGAAGGGCGCCACCTGGTGGACAACTAAAAAAATTAAATTTTAAGGCCCGGACTCTAAAGTGCCCCCCTCACTTTGACGATGGCACTACATTTAGTTATGAAAAATGAAATGAAAAATAGCGTTTATAATGGTTTTCAATGCGCCGTTTTTTGGCTCTAGGACCAAAGGTGGATGCATATTTGTAGCTTATTTTAAGCTAATTTAATGAACTCAGACCGCAATTCTAAAAATGTTTTTTAAAAAAAAAGTTTGGCAAATTTGGCTATATTCTATTCAACACAGTGAAAATGGCTTGAAATTAAAAAACACAGTGGATGAAAAATGGCTCCAGGACCCTCTTTCTAAGGGTTTGCTACCAGTCCTTCATTTGTGGTTATGAGTTACTTTTTAAAACACTCACTCTCATTCGTTCCTTGGCGTTGACCAACTCTCGTTTTTTCACAGTTTGGCTGAAGTCCTCGGCCACGAAGTATAAATTGTCCCGTCCTCGTTTGAACTTCTCGATGTTGCAGTAGACAGGGAGCGCGGACTCGCCCGTCAGCCGCTTCAAAATGTCACTCATGGATTCCTCCTCCGGTACCTTCATTTTAACGAGTACCGTTTGATAAAAATAAGCTACCACCTGGTCGATTTAATTCTTTATCGTGGCGCCATGTAAAAGAGAACAGCGAGAGGCCTCTGGCGTGGCGGAGGATCACACCTGCGTCAGGAGGGTTTTAATTAGAGTCAGGTGTTGTGCCAAAAAGGACTTCCGGTATTTTCCACACTGAAAAAAAAAGAAATTTTGAGCAGGAAAGAACATTCCTGTTACATAGAAGCCGCTATCAGTTTGGGGTAAATGGACTTTTATATATCCTTTATTTACCAGGGGAAAGTCTCACTGACATTAAAAGTTTATTATTTAAGAGTGACCAAGTGGGCAGCAGAAATTACAATGAATTTAACATAATAGTGCTATCAAGATATTCATAGGCTGGTTGAATATACTTTAGGTACAATAACACAGAGTCATAAAGATACTTGCAAACTTGGTAATTTCTTCATATGTAGTTTTTCATAAATCCAGTTGACTTCAGTCCTTTTTCCAACATAAGCAAAATATCACACAGAAAAAAAAAAGATATTTGCCAAACATATCCATGATGATCAAGTCATTTTAAGCCAGAGAGAACATCCCTGTCTGAGAAATAAGTGCCTCCTTCACACTTCCATAGCTTTATTTTGGTGTCTGATCACTACCATGACCCATTACTGACGGCATTATTCACACAACAGGTTGCTTGTTAATATGTCAACAAGCGATCTGTTGTTATCTCTTTAGCATAATCTGGAAACCTCCCTCAAATATAAAAACATTTCACTGCTGAAATCCACACAATGACTTTTTAAACAGTAGTCTGGAGAATTAATAGAGGCCTGCTTTTCTCACACCAGGGAGACGTTTAAAATAAAAACATATTCAATTAAAGCTCCATTCTGACAATGTGTCACATCAAAACATATCTTTTCAGATTTTACAAATTGCTTTCATGTTCACACCTCGGCATCTTTATTGTCTTTAGGGCAAGTCAGACAACTTTACACTGCCTCAAGCAAACCCTCAGCTTAATGTCAGATGTCTCCTGTCTGCTTTAACTCCTCCACCTCCACAGCTGCTTTTCTGGGAAGATTTTTCTGCCGGTTCCCATTGTTCATGTAAATCAAAAGTTTCGGATGCTCTTTCACCTCCAACAGTCAAATCCCAGTTAAGCTTTTCTCAAAGCTTCTACTTTCTTCACATAAAGAGGAACTTTCACAAGTATAGCCACAGAATTCTTCTCAGCTGTTTAAACTCTTTTTTTTGGCAAATCTTTAATAAATGACAGAAAATCATACTGAGATCCCTGTTTCACACCATGAAAACAGTCCTGTGAGATATTCAGGATGGTGCTGGCTATCCCAGCTGCCAGTGATGTACACTGGATAGGTTACATGTCTATCACACAGTATTGTCATGGTCCTGGGTCGTGCGACCCAGTGATTTGTGTTTAGTCTATTTTGATGTTTATTGTTTGTTTAGGTTCATTAAGTTATTCTAGCTCGTTTGTAATTATATTACCCTTGTGTTAAGTCTCCCTTGCCCTTCATGTCTGTGTGTCTTATGTTGCCAAGTTCATGTTGTCATTTCTGTCATCTTCCCCTGTACTCAGTCTCCCTGGTTCGTGCATCTACCTGTCATGAGTCATGTCTGCGTGGTTATGTTTAGTTCATGTCATGTCTAATCTCCATGTTTCCTGTTTTACTTTGAAAGTCTGTATTCAATGTCAGTGTATTTAGTTTCACTTCTCCTGTCCTGTCTTTAGGTTCATGTGTGTCAGCTGTGATCCCATGTGTGGCCACTTCCCCTGATCATCCCTCATGTGTGTTTAGTCTCTGTGTTTCATACAGTCTGTGTCGCGTCGTCTGTGTTCCCACGGTCGGTCTTTGCAGTTATCACCATAGTCTCTGAGTCTTCTTAGTTTGTCACAGTACTAGTTTTCCCAGTTTAGTTATAGTCTAGTTTAGTCACGCTATCCCTGTTGTGTTTGTACACTTTGTCTTCAGCCATAATAAAGGCTCGCTTTCTGTTAAGTTCACTCCCGTCTACTCACTTGTGTACGCACCTGGGTCCATCACACACACCACCACACGGCCTGTCTCCGCAGACCGTGACAAGTATAACATAATATACAATATAATAGAAAGCTATTTATCTCTAAATGAATACAACATTTGTACAATTTAAAAACGTTAACTTCCTGTAGGCTTCTCATCAACCACCATGGTCTCCATGCCATTATGGGAAAAGATTGTAAATGTATGCAATTCCCTAGAATGTAGAATGAAAATGGTTATTTTTAAAATGAATTCATTATTATTTTCTAAGATAACTGAAAATGCAACGTTCGGGTGAACACAATCAGCTTTCTGGGAATTCATATTTTTTCTTTCAGTTGATAACTTTGTCATTACAACCAAGCACTGCAATTAACGGTTAACCTTTTTAAGATATGAAAACTCCAAGGAAAATACAGCCTGAGTAAATAACAGGTTTGATAAAAGTCCCTTTAGAGGAATCTAAAGCTTGATTATATTCAAGCTTTAGATTTCTTTTTAAGGCAAACAATTATGTGCTTGTCTTTATGCTAATGTTAGGCTTGGAAACACTCAGAAATTAGCTTGTTAAATAGGAAGGCCTGTGACTCTGGGCTGGTTTAAGCTTTTCAACAAAAGGCTGTGAGGCCTGCCATACTTCAGTGTATTTAACTGCTGCACTCGACAGTGCATAATTACAATAAGCTATTTTCACTATAAGAAAAGACCAGAGTCCTCCAGTCCAACAGCCCATTTCAACAGGGGAAGGGACACTCGCCCCACAAGTCATTTATCACATGTTCAATCCATAACTATGTTTTTCATCAAATTTCTCTGTGAAAGCAGGTAAGTGTAAGCATGAATCCTGATTTGCTGCAGTCTTTTTTGGTCTTCATTCACTCAGAGAAGCACATATCTATGTCCTTTAATCTCCCATCAGAAGAGAAAATAGGCAGATCGTGAGTATAAACTGTCCTATTTTCTTGCAGAGTGATGTGAGATATCCAATAAAACTGCATCAGGGATTGCTGATTCAGCAGGAGTGAGCACATGACTTGTACTGCTAAGAGAGTCTAAAACAAAGGAAGTAACCGCCTTTTACTTCATGGGCCACCAAGGCATAACATCCCATATGAAAAGAGCACCCCTCTTTGTTTATATTTAATAAGTTTACAGCAAAGGTGTCAAATCTAAGGCCTGGGGGCCATAATTGGCCTAGGAAAGGCTCCAATCTGGTCCACTAAATGGCTTTGTAAAATTTAACGTAGGGCATAGATTTTGGACTGTTAACTCTATTTTCATAAGTATAATTGTATATATTCTGTCTCAAGCTCTCAATTTACCGGTTGATCTACGTCTCTACCCTCACCTATGGTCACGAGCTGTGGGTAGTGACGGAAAGAACGAGATTGTGGCTATAAGCGGCGGAAATTAGCTTCCTCTGAAGGGTGGCTGGCCTCTCCCTTAGAGATAGGGTGAGAAGTTTGGCTATTTGGGAGGGGGTCAGAGTAGAGCCGCTGCTCCTTCACATCGAAAGGACCCAGTGTCCCACTGGGAGGAGGCCCCAGGGCAGACCCAGGACACGCTGGAGAGATTACATCTCTCGGCTGGCCTGGGAACTCCTTGATGTTCCTCCGGACAAGCTGGAGGAGGTGACTGGGGAGAGGGAGAACTGGGCTTCTCTGCTTGGGCTGCTGCCCCCCAAGTCCCAGCCCCGGATAATCGGAAGAAGATGGATGGATGGATGGATAGTTTCCTTAATGGTTAGAGTGTTTAACAGTAAACAACCATGTCTAATTGTATCACGAGAATTAACCTGTCTTCAACAAAACCCTTAACGTACAGCCTTTTTTTCCGTTGCTATTCATGTGTAAAGTGTTCTTGGGTTTCTTGAAAGGCCTTATACAAATTTAAGTCATTATTATTTTTATAATACTCCACCTCACCTGACCATAAAAGCAGGTCTAGAAGATCCTGGAGTGAATTAGCACTTCCTGGGTGTAATCCTGTAGATGGCAAATTGCAGTATGAAGGAGAGCTAAGAAACAGATTAAATCAAATGCAAATCTTAAAAATAAAAACTTCAAACATTCGGGGTAAGGAAGGTCTCTGCAAGTCTGCACGAAAAGAATCTGAGTAAGCTGTATGAAAATGGAGGAATGGTGTTTTTTCAGTTATATTTCCTATGCTTTTCAGTGTTTTGCCAGTCAGAGAAAAACTGACAGCTACCCTTTGAGAAATTGCACTTTTAGGATGATCAATAAATCACAGCAGCAACAATTAAATATACAAAGTAAACCGAAAGCAAGGATTTAACTGTGTCTGTGTGTGTGTGTGTGTGTGTGTGTGTGTGTGTGTGTGTGCGTGCGTGCGTGTGTGTTTCCAGAACAGTCATTGTTATCCGAGAAAACAAATCCTCTTCAAACTCATTATAATGACATTCAGTGTTGAATTGCTCATATTGGTCCATAACCACACAGAAACATTTGATTAAGTGAAGATTAAGACATGATTAGGAGAAGTTGAACCCCAAAGGGAACATCTGAGTGCTGTAGCTGCACTAACGTACAAAACAAATGTTAGAACAGTCGAATAATTAGCCAATGAAACAAACACAACAACAAGGGATAAAGAGAGGAGACATAAGAGGTTATTAGTATAAAACCCCATTATCTTTGATCCTACCAGAACAACAAACTGGACTGGGTGAACAGAGCGTCTGTACAGGTTTGGGGCAGACGCCACTCAGTAACTTTGTTTTTGCACCACTGTGGAAAGCTGCAGTGTGCATGAATGGAACCAAACTCTTGATTTGGATGGTTTCATGTCTTCTGCCTCTTGTTATTATTAACACGGAAAGTTATGCTGTTTAGACTCCATGGTTCGGGCTCTCAATTTAAATTAAACTGAGAATAAATTATTATTAAATGATTACACAATGCACTCACACATTACCATTTAGATCATTATAATAATAAGCCAAAGTCAGCTCTATCAGTGTGCATTTATAAACACTAAGTGGAGTTGCCATTATGTTAACATTAGAGCAGATGTAAACATTTTTACTCAATATTGAACTCTTGCAAAGCTGATTTGCATTAT